AAGTATTCTCCCTATATTTGACTGTGCTTGGTCGGTTTCCTACAACTTAAGACTCCACGATCATCTACGAATTCTATGTAAACGAGCTAAAGTCTATCCAAAAGATAGGTTAGATTCTATATAGTTTGTTTCTGTTACTAATAATTGGTTGGTATAGCAGACTAACAGCAATCACAACAACATAATTTTTGTTGTTACATATTTACCGATCACCGGTTAAAGGTACTGGTGGCTTGCTAAATTAACAAAATCCTTTCTCTCAGTGTTACTGTAGATTTGTCTTCAATGATTTCGAGTATACCGACGTTGTAGCAACATGCAGACAACAATGTGTATATGTATTGCTAGCAGTTTAACAACAAGATAACTGCATCAATGTGTGTTGTCGGCAATACGACAGCGTTGTATGATGCTGCATATTATTGTGGCAACTTGATGGCCATAGTACGAATTTTGATGATGACGAGTTTAAAGTTGTCGGCAAATTGCTGGCAAGTTGTTATTTAATATTATCAGATCGTGAAGGCATCAAGTTATCAACAAATGAGGATTCAGTGCCGCAATTCTGGTAGCAACACATACTTAACAATACATGCTTAGCAACATGCCAACAACGAGACAGATACGTTGCTATTTGGGTTATATTTAAGGTCGTTTTAAGTACATTAAGATATCATAAGCCAATCACAGAGCCGTATTAGCATTACTTAAGATGCTCTTAATTCAAAAATGAACTATGAGTACCGGTTTACGACGTTGTAAGAAATAAAGAACGAGAATGTCATGAATTATGGAAAATGCGATGAAATCGCAAGTGGCATAACCGGAATAGAATTCTTCTAAAAAGTCCTTGAAAGAAATATCATCTTTTAATTCGCTCACTCTGATTCAGGGTTGTGCGCGTTACCTCAAAAAAGTAACCCGTTACAGTTACCGTTAATTTTTGAAAAAAGTAACTCATTACCATCATTCGTTACCAATTTTAAAAAGTAACTCGTTATCGTTACCGTTACTTGAAAAGTAACGATTCGTTACTTTTTTTTATAATGCTAAAGTAAGTTATTAGATTAAAATTACATTAGCTGATAATTAATTTAATACTAAATGTGAAATAAATATTCAAACTTGAAATTCTCTACTAATTAGATTAAAATTACATTAACTGATAATTAATTTAATACTAAATGTGAAATAAATATTCAAACTTGAAATTCTCTACTAACTAGTTTGTATATAGAGCAAGCTTTTCTCTATATTAAACTTACCTACAGTTTTACTAATTCTTTATTTTACTTAGATAATATTGTTATTTTAATGTATTCATTTTTATAAGAATTTAGATTAAACAGATAATAGATTAAATATTGTTTTTAAACATCAATGTATATTATTTTAATGTACTCATTTTTATAAGAATTTAGATTAAACAGATAATAGATTAAATATTGTTTTTAAACATCAATGTTCCCTGGTGGAAATAAATCGATAAAATCTTTATCAATAGATCCGTTTCAGTATAATTCATAATGAAATGAGTCAATTGATAGAAATTTCTACGATTTCGACGATTTGTTTCCATCAGGGTTACTATTATGTGTATTTCAATATTTATTGTCCGTACCAAAAATTTACAGTATATATATATGTAATGTGAATTATATATTTTCAACAATGGCAGTGCCTATTAGAACACAGTATAAGATACTAAGTACAAAATACTTTTAAAAAAATTAAGAATAAATTATAAAATAAGAAAATAATACGAAACTGAAATAACAATAAAAGTAACGGCAAAATTCGTTACTGTTATTGCAAAAATGTAACGACGTTATACCGTTACAGATAGAAAAAAGTAACGATCGTTACCAGTGATGTAGTCCTAAAAATAAAAGTACCCTGGCGGTGCTTTGAACAAAGGTTTATCAGATTTTTAAAACACCAATCTGCAACAAGTAAAAAAAAAGAAAAATGTATTCTTTTCATATGGGACTCGCGTCGCGTGACGTCATTGCTGTAGACGTTTTATTTTTTTATTTGAAAACTACAGCGAATATCTCAAAATGTTATAAGACTTTTTTGTGCCTCTTAACCCTTTCTATGCTCTCAAAGTGGCACGTACA